ATATGGGAAGATTATCCTGGATTAGCTGGGCATGCCCAATGATATAGCCAAAGAGAAAGAAGATTGAGAAAGAAGATAAGGTTAGAAGCAGAGTTTGGACAAAAGATTCTAAGTGTTTGACATTGAAGATGAAGGAAAGGACACAAGCTAAGGAAATGAAGGCGTTGAAAAGTTGAAAAGTTAAGGAAATTAATTCCCCCCAGAGCTCCCAGAAGAAACACAACTATGGACACACCTTAGTCTTCTGACCTTCAAAACTCTAAGATAAATTTTTTTTTACTTTAATCTACCGTGATAGTTTTTTTTTTTTAAAGATTTATTTATTTATGCATACAAGAACTGGGGTACAGGCCAGAGATGTGGGGGGTGAGAGGATTCACCAGAGACAGAGTCTGGAACAGGACAGGCAGACTGACTGAAATACACTGCTGAGGGGAGCAGTGGGCAAGTCAGGAGAGGTCTGCTGTGCCATGTGGGTAGCTCCCTGTAGTGGCTGCAGCGAGCTTCATAGGTTGTGTCTTACCCCTTGCGCCACCAGGGAGGGCCCATCGTGAGAGTTTTTTACAGCAGGAAACTAACACATTATGCTGAAAAAAAAAAATACTCTGATTCTCCTCAATTGGACATATACTCTACGAGGCCAGCAAATTTTGTCTGTTTTTGGTTCACTGATATTCCTAAATGCAAAAATACTGTGTGCCAAATATCTGACATTTGGTAAATGTTATTTGAATAGTCAACGTAGGGCACCTCCTTATTCTAGAGACATTATCTTTGTTAGTTTAGCCTCAGTTCAAATGCAGTTTTGTGGCCACTCCAGCTCATCACCTTCTATTTTTCCTGTAAGTGCTGCTCTTCTCTCCCTCCTCTCCTCCCACAGCAACCCCCCTGCACACTACAGCACACAATTTCATTTCCCCTTTTAGACAAGAAGGGTTCTAAGAGTTTATGGGCCCCATATTCCAAACAACTGTGAATTTTGAACTTTATTTATAAATCCATAAGTTCAGTTGTTTCCAGCACTAGGATTACTACAGCTAAAGGCAGGTAGAGAGGACAGGTGAGCAGAGAAGATGGAAACATAATAGGAATTTATCTGAGAAAAATGGGATCCCTCCTTTCTGCTAATTGCAGAATCTGACATTAAGAAGGTTGGAGAGAAGATGGAAGGAATAATCCAGGGAACTGCCAGGGAGCAAGAGCTAGACCCCAGCACCACAGACTCCCATGTGTAGGTGCCACGCCAGGCCTTGTGGGACAATGACAGGATAAACACCTCTTGCTGTTGGAGATGGGGGCACCCAGAGGAGGAGATCAGCACTGAACACAAAACAAGCATAATTCCTGATAAAATTAAAGACAGAAACAAATACCCAGAAGATGGCAGCTGAGGGCCTGAGCCTAGGCTGACTCAGCCACATGAAGTCCTTGCTGCCCAGGGTCCTGGAGACAGGACAGGCCCAGGTGGGGTCTGAGTCCCTGTGATCACAGGCCCTGCTGGGACAGGTGCTCCTGAAGGACAAGGACAAAGGAGCAGAGAGATGACCCCTGAGGAGTGACCACATCAAAGCCCATGACACACTGAGCACCGACTGGGCACAGGCTCCGTCCCCCTCAGCTCCTCACAGCCTCTCCTGCACAGACCTAGAACAGGAAACATTCAGATCCTGGACGGTTCTCAGTGCTTCCTTTCATTTCTCTAAAAATTTAGTATTCTCTTCTTTAACCCAACAACCCCACCTTGTGACAAGGATTAGAAGAAACAAACATATATACACAGTTTTTTTTTTTTTTAATTGTTATGCTTTTCCTTTATAATAGAAAGTCCCTTACTGGTCCTGCCTCCATGAGTGGCCACGACCAGGGAGGCGGGAGGGGAACCAGGCAGTGTGGGGAGTGGGTCATCTCTACAACATCCCATTTCTACACAGAATCAGACAGACAGCACAGGGTTGCTATTGCAGTTGAAAGGTGGCAGCACAGAAGGGAAGGAACAGTGAGGTCTTGGAGTATTATTAAAAAAAAAAATACGCTGGGCCTCCCCTGGTGGCGCAGGTGGTTGAGCGCAGTGCTGTGAAGCTGTCCGCAGCCTCTGCAGTGCCATTTCGAGGCCAACGGTGGGTGAGGGCCCCACATGGTGCAGCAGACCTCTCCTGTCTAGCCCACTGCTTCCCTCAGCAGTGTATTTCGTCAGTCTGGCTGTCCTGTTCCCCGCTCTGGCTCTGGTGAATCCTCTCACCCTCCAGCGCATCTGGCCTGTACCCCAGTTCTTGTATAAATAAATAAATCTTTAAAAAAAATACCCCAATATATCTCTTGCTGTTGGAGATGGGGGCACCCAGAGGAGGAGATCAGAACTGAGCACAAAACAGTCATAATTCCCTTCTGGGGGGAACGTGATCTGCTTAAACCCAAGAGGGATCAGAAGATCAAAAGTGATTTGGGAAGGCCAGATCTGTCAAGGATGGAGGTAGGAAGAAGGTCTGGGGGTCAGGGGCTTTTGGCAACTAGGTGGAGTCATTGTCCTCGCCCTGCTGGGATTCCCTAGCCCCTCTGGCCTGGCAGGAAGGGTGCAGCCTGCCCCAGTTTCTCTGCCAGGGTAGAGTTTTTTTTTTTTTTTTTCAATTATGCTTTCAAGAACTAGGGTGCAGGCCAGAGGTGTGGGGTGGGGAGTGAGAGGATTCACCAGAGACAGAGTGGGGAACAGAACAGGCAGACTGACAGAAATACACTGTTGAGGGGAGCAGCGGGCGAGACAGGAGAGGTCTGCTGAGCCATGTGTGTAGCTCCCTGGCCAGGGATCGAACTCGAGTTGCAGTGGCTGCAGATAGCTTCATACTGCAGAGACATAACTCCTTATGCCACCAGAGAGGCCCTAGCAATTTGTAATTCATACTTGATCCACGTCAGCTTCTCCTTGGAGCTGGCAGAGATGATTTTGCGCTTAAGGGTGCACACTCAGGGGTCCAGAGGATAAGCATCAAGGCCTCCTTCTTACTCTCCTTGGTCTCTTAGGTTGCATCATGGAGGGCACAGTCCTGGTCTGGCAGCATCTTGACAAAGATGGGTAGGGGTTGTTCATGGCCTGGCCCACATCAGCTACCAGGATTTCTTTGCCCTCTGGGATGATGTTCTTCTTGTCCTCACTCGGGCAGAAGAGCACCACCTTCTTGCGCCTCTTCACTTCCTGTGGTGTTGATGACTTACGCACCTTCATGTCCTTGGACACTTTTCTGACACCTTCAGAGACAGCCACGCCGGAAGCCATGTTTCCCAAGAAAGCAAGGAGAGCCAGAAAAGGCAAGAGCTGCTATGGCTGCTGCCAGAATCTGACTGCATGTGGCCTTTCCAGCCCCTTCTGTTTAGTATCAGATTCTCTATTTTATTTTAATTTTTTAAAGACTTATTTAGATTCTCTGTTTTAACAGAGGAGAAGCTGCAGCTCAGTGCAACAGAAGTTAAGACAGGGATGAAGACGACCCAGTCCCGCCTCTGCTGGCGCAGGAAAGTCATCAGGGAGAAAACACAGGTCAGTGTGGGGAGGGTCCTGGTGGGCAGGGCTGGGCCAGACTCCCCACCTCCTCACGTTATGCTAGTAGGAGCACAGACAGACACATGCAGGTACCCTTTGCAACAAGAGAAGTTAGGCAGTCTTTTCTTTTTAAAGATATATTTATTTGTGCATATAAGAACTGGGGTACAGGCCAGAGTTGTGGGGGGGGTGAGAGGATTCACCAGAGACAGAGTGGGGAACAGAACAGGCAGATCTGCTGAAATACACTGCTGAGGGGAGCAGCGGGCGAATCAGGAGAGGTCTGCTGTGCCATGTGGGTAGCTCCCTGGCTGGGGATCGAACTCGTGCTGTAGTGGCTGTGGCAAGCTTCATAGGTTGCATCTTAAACCCTTGCACCACCAGGGAGGCCCCATAGTTTTACTTTAAAAGCTGGTTGGGGCAAAACCAGAAAATAGACCCCAGTTAGAGCGCCCAGAAGATGAGACTAAAGGAGAGATTGTGGGGTGGGTGAGCTCCCCCATGGATTCCATCTACAGTTTTCTTTTATTTTTTTAAAGATTTATTCATTTATGCATATAAGAGCTGGGATACAGGCCAGAGATATGGGGGGTGAGAGGATTCACCAGAGACAGAGTGGGGAACAGAACAGGCAGAATGACTGAAATACACTGCTGAGGGGAGCAGTGGGCGAGACAGGAGCGGTCTGCCTCACCATGTGGGATGCTCCCTGGCTGGTTGGGGACTGAACTCGCTCTGCAGGGGCAGCAGACCGCCCCATAGTGCTGTGCCCAAGCCCCTGTGCCACCAGGGAGGCCCACCATCTACACTTTTCTAAGGGCCTTCCTACCCCACATATCTAGACTTAGTATTTCTCTCCTTCTCTACCTGTAGGAAGAAAACATTTTGTGAGAGGCCAGGGAGGAGGCAGGACCAGGAAGTCAGGAACTGGCCTGTCCTGGGCTCCAGGACAGGATTGGGGAACATGGGAGAAAGCACATGTGGGAGCTGCGCCAGCCTCCTCCGTCCTTAGCAGGGACATTTCCTTTTTACCTGCAGCTACTCAAGTGAGGTCCCCATGACCAAAGTCATCAAGTTGAACTATCTGTCCTTCATTTTTCATACAAAGGGGTTTCATGAGCTTTACAAAAAAGTGTAAGCAAACCCGGCTCTCAGCTGAGAAAGTGCATGTGTGTGGGATCATGCCTCACAGTATCAAGCAGACGTTAGACAAGAAACCTCAGACCTCATATGAGGTTTTCTCTATCTGAGAGCCTCTTCCTCCGAATCACAGCTCCAGTGAGCACAGCTCCAAGGAGAACCAGAACAGCAATGATGTCCACGGTGGGGAAGGAGGACTGAGGAGGGGGCTCTGGAAGGGAAAAGGTGAGACTCTGACTTTCAGGCCTCAGCCCCCACCCTGCTGGAAGGCTCCAGAAGGGCTCCTGATGCCCCTGAGAAGCTCTGTGCCCATGATCCCCTCCTTAACCTATGCCAGGACTCGGGGTTCCAGCAGCCCCTCATGCTGCACACGGCACGTGTATCTCTGCTCCTCTCCAGAAGGCACCGCCACAGCCACCCACTTCTGGAAGGTTCCATCTCCCCCAGGCCTGGTGTCCACCAGCTCCATGTCCTGGGTCAGGTCCTCCCCATCTTGCTGCCAGGTCAGGGTGATGTCCGCAGGGTAGAAGCCCAGGGCCCAGCACCTCAGGGTGACCTCATGCTCAGAGGTAGCATGGTGGGTCACGAGTGTCTTTGGGAGTTCTGAGAATTCATACTTTGGGTTACTTTCATAGGCCACTGAAGCAGCCTCATGTGACCATCCTGAGAATGGACAGATAATTGCACTGGGTGGACAGAGTGCAAAACTGGAACACCAGCCTGGCCTGGATCACAGGGATAGTCTCCTAATCCTTGGAAAGTTCTAGAATCAGGGTGCAACAGTTCAGGATAGCAGGCTGCAGGGCTCCGAGGGAGAGACTAGAGACTTCTCATCTTGACCTGGATAGAGGCCCAAGTGACTCAGGAAAGTTGGAGTCAGAACCAAGACCACTGAGAACCAGATGTGAGCAAGAAATACATGGCTCACAAGAACACCGCCAGGATCAGAGAGAATCAGTTATTTCAGGACTGTTCCTCACCTGGAGAGAGTGCATCCCTTAATTGCCCCCAGGAAGGGCTGGCACTCTAGGGGTCACTTTTGAGGATCTGGACACCCAGGCAGACTCCTCACCTTCTGGGGCCATGGGAGGGTGGTATCTGGCCTTGAGCCCACTCTCCTTCCCTGTGCTGGACCCAGCCTTGGCCCTAGGGGAGGCCCGAGGCATCTCTTACTTGCACGCAGTGTCCGGTTCCCTTTCTTCAGTTGTCCTTGGAGCCACTGCCCACACTCACGTTCCAGGCGGGGAGTGTTGAATTCAGAAGTGAGGACCTCCTCCCACTCAACCTCCCAGGTCTGCGCCTCCATGCCCGCTGGGGTCCTGGTGCGCAGCGTCTCCATCAGGGTGAGGGAATCAACGCCATCGTAGGCGAATTGACTGAACCGGCTTAGGCTACCGTCCAGGCCCACTTCACAGCCATTCCTCACCTGCAAGGTGTGAGGCCCTGGCCGCCCCCCACCCCCATGTCAGCCGCGCCCACTGAGCACCTCCCATCCCCAGGCAAGCGCAGCTGTTGGGGATTTGTAATAAACTAACACAGAAACAGGGTAAAAGTTCCAAGGCCTCGAGGGAAAGCTCGGACCCAGGGACTGGAGGGAACCCCTGCCCGTAGGTGGGGATCACACACCTGTTCCGCTCTGGGTGTAGTGTATCCGCAGGTTGTTCAGTCGGAGCCTGGACAGGTGTTAGTGGCTCTCGACAATCCACTTTTGGCTCTCCCAATACTCCGACCCCTCTAGCTCCGTCCACGGCACTGTTGCCTCCATTTTCGGACTCGGGTCATTGTCAAACCGCAGGAACTGCGTGTCGTCCACATGGCCCACGCAGATGAAGCGGGGCTCCCCGGGGCGGGCCGGGACATCGCGGTGTGCAAGTATATTATGGAGTGGGAGCCGGGGGGAGGCTGAGACCCCACCAGTGTCTGGGTGCGAGGGTGAAGGGGCCGGGCAGGGGGAGAGGGCGAAAGTGTTCGTGAGACGGAAAAGGGGCTAGGGAGAAGGGCGGGGCACAGGGTGGGTGGATCAGGGAGGAGCAGGATACCGGGCCGGGCTGGGCCGAGGTGTGGGGTTTGGCGCAGGTTGAGGAGAGGGCGGTCAGGGGACCCTTCTCGGTCCTGCTCTGCCACAGGGCGGCCCTCTCGCTCCTCCCCGGCCCAAGCCACCCCCTCCGAACTTCGCACTCACCTGCCCAGGTCTCAGGCAGGACAGGGCCCCTGACAGCAGCAGGAGGAAGATTGGGGGCGGCATAGTCCCGATCCTCCTGGTCCGGGAAGACTCTAAAACCTAGTACAGACTTTACACCCCTAAAGCCTTGACGCTGACTGACTTATGCGGACGGTCGTGTACAGGGAATTAGAACTGGGCGTGTACAGGGTGAAGGACTTGGCGTGGCGCAGCCTGTGACAGAGCAAAGTGGAGATGAATATTCCCTTTGCTTGACTTCCCACCCAAACACTGTTCCGAGGCCTGAAGCCCTGAGAACCAGCCTGAGGAGCTAGGGCCTTGTCCTGACCCTTGGCTCTGGCGTCTTTGCTTCTGCATTGAGGAGCCTATCTCACGCCGTCTCTCTGTATACCAGGGTCTGTTTAAATCAGCGATTCTCAAAATTTTTGTCTTTATGATCTGAATACACTCTCACAGATGAATGAGGATCCACAATAATTTTGTTGGTTATAGCTATCATATTTGCCTTACAAGAGATCAAAAATTTAAAAATACTTATTCATTTAGAATGATATTAACAACCCTACATGTTAATAGGAATAAAAAAAAATTATGAAAACTTTTTTGCAAAATAAAAAGTATAGTGACAATGTTAGGGGGACAGGATGTCCTGAGCAAGCTCCATACAGGCTTTGTGGACTCCACCCCCACTCCAGACCAAAGCCAGCAAGACATTGGGAATGACAAATCCCATCACCACCAAAGGGGGGGTTGCTGGGGCCTGAGGGTGGAGTTAAGCTGCCAGGTTTGGTATAAAACCAGACACGTGGACTTGTGTTGGCCGCACAGGGCTCTTGGCTCGTGGCCAGCTCTCAGCTGCCATTGGAATTCCGGGTCAGCAGAACTTGTAGGACGCATTCACGAATTTATCTCCCTCTTTTTCTCCCTGAGTTATTCATTTCTAAATTTCTCCTTCTTTTGTAAATAAACCTTTTATTAACCATTTGTGTGAGCCTGCAGTCAAGCATTAATAAGGCCCTTTTAAGCACACAGGTGAGGACCCACAGTCACACAACCCATTTCATATGGGGGTTGTCCTGTAAAAGTTTGGTGTTCAACGTGGTTGACCAGGTTACACCTGTGGTTGACCAGCCCAAAGTAACTTTCCCTGCGATGGTCACCGCAAGTGCCACTAGGTCTGCAGGACACAATGTGTAATGTTTGTCTCAGGTCTTGGAAAGTCTCTTTTTTTTCCCCCTTGTGTACAGCTCTCTCTTGTGGGTGTGTGTGTTTTTTTTAATTGATGTGTAACTTTATTTAATCAGGGTTTTTTTAATTTTATTTTTATATTCCCCATACAATTGCAACCCTCTTATTTTGAACCCAAACCCTTCTTTCCCCGCCCCCCACCCTCCATAGAATGTCTCTTGTTCATAGTTGTTTGTTGATTTTGATATTTTCTTTCTTTTAGTTATTCTTTTTCCTGGTTCCTTATTTAAATTTTCTAGATTCCTGCTATGAGTAAGACCATTCGGTATTTTTCTTTTTCTTTCTGGTTTATTTCGCTGAGCATGATCCCTTCCAGCGCCATCCATGTTGCTGCAAATTGCATGTCTTTATCTTTTTTGAATGCTGAGTAATATTCCATGGTGTATATGTACCACATCTTCTTGATCCAGTCATCTATTTTTGGGCATTTGGGTTGTTTCCAAAGCTTAGCTATTGTAAACAGTGCTGCTATAAACATAGGGGTGCAGGTGCTCTTTGGAATTGATGTTTCTGTGTCCTTTGGGTAAATACCTAGGAGTGGAATTGCTGGATCATATGGAAGCTCTATGTTTAGTAGGTCCAGAAATCTCCACACAGCTCTCCATAGTGGTTGGACCAGTTTGCACTCTTGTGGATGTGTTTTTGACTAAAGCCTGGCCTCAACCATGAGCTTAAGCAGTTTTCTCCCTAGCTTGAGTTCTTTCAGTTTTTTTTCCAGCCTTGAGTTTACGTAGCCTTTTTCCATTAAATATTATCACCAGATTGATAAATGTACATAATTTGATAAAACCTGGTATATGGCACATTTTTTTACTTCTGTACTTTTGTACTGGTTTACAAGCCATCCCTACTTTACAATCTTTGCTTCTGGGGTTTTTTTTGTAATGTGTGTAAGCGCCATTTGCTACATTCTTGGTTCTATGAGAGGTAGATGTTCTACTTCACATACTGAGAATGTGCAACAACACATTCAGGCTCTTAGCTAAGCAACAACAAATTCAGGCTCTTAGCTTAGCTATGCAACAACAAAATCAGGCTCTTGATTTAACTATTAAGAGTATGAGGGATGAAAACTGTACTTTTTTTTTAAGATTTATTTATTTATTTATACAAACACTGGGTACAGTCAAAAGCGCTGGAGGTGAGAGAATTTACCAGAGCCAGAGGGGAGAGCAGAGCAGGCAGACTGACGAAGTACACTGCTGAGGGGAGCAGCAGGCGGCAGGAGAGGTCTGCGCGCTGTGTGGGACCCTCGCCCGGTGACCGGGGATCAAACCGGCACTGCAGAGGCTGTGGGCAGCTTTGCAACCCAGCGCTCAACCACTGTGCCACCGGGGAGGACCCGAAAACCGTACTGTTTTTGAGTTAGCCTTTAAAAGCATGCAGGATCAAGCTTTTAAAAGTATACAGGACCAGCTACAGGCCGCCCTCCATAAATTGAATATGGCGGAGGCTCGGCTGATGGCACAGCGAAGAGATAAACCTTCCCCTTCCCACGAGGACTGCAAGAGGGCAGAGTTAGAAGAGGAGGATTATCATGTGTTAAACACCTTAAACACATCAGGACAAAGTCCTTCTCTGTGTGACAAGGCCCCTCCCGCGCAGACTCCTGAGGCTTCACAGCCTCCACTGGCCTACAGGGAAGAAAAAAAAAAAATGGCATCTCCCCCCACACTAAATGGGGCACCCACTTTTGCAGGAAGAGTCACCCTGAAGCAGGACAGTTTCCTCTCTGACAGCTGCCAGTGGGTGGCTTGAATGAACATGGGCGACCTGCTGGGTACTTTTGGTCACACAATCCCTTTAGCACCACGGACCTCCTAAATTGGAGGAGCTCTGTCCCCTTGTACCGGCAGGCTGCTAAGAGGATGGCGAACTTGTTTGCTTCTATCTTCCTCTCCCACTGCCAACTGGGCAGGTATACAGTCCATGCCTCAAACTTTGCTGACTCTGCACAAGCAGAGAATGGTTTTCAGGAAAGCCAGGGAGGAGGCTGACCATCTCCACCAACAGGACAGAGAATCCCCAGAGCCAGAGATGGTTGTCCCAGTGGTGGATCCCAAATGGGACCCCAACAATGGAGGAATGGCAATGTTAGAGCTCTACAAAAAATGTTTACTGGTAGCACTGCAGCAGGGAATCCCCAAACAAAAAAATTTTAACAAAATATTACAGCTTGAACAAGGAGCTAACGAGGATCCATTGGAGTTCCTTAAGAGAATTATTCAGACGTACACCAACCACACGGATGTTAACCTAGATGCCCCAGAAAATGCTCATCTGATCACTATGGCGTTCATCACACATAGTGCCCCAGACATAAGGAGAAAGTTAGCAGCGGTGGACGGCGTCAGAGATGAGTCTGTCCCAGGTAGTGGACTTGGCATTTTGGGTTTATAATAATAGAGAGGACAGGAGACAGAAGCCTGCAGCAGTTTTTGTACAAAGAGAGCACAGGACAGGGTTTCAGGGAAACAGTCACAGACTGAGACGTGAATCCAGAAGTGAACCCAGGAGAAGAGAACCCCTAGGGAGAAATCAGTGTGCTCACTGCAGGGAAGAGGGACATTGGAAGTGCAGTTGTCCCAGATTACAGGGGAGCAGTAGACACAATAATGACAGGAGACAGGACAGAAGACTGAGGACACCACGACAGGACGATTCACACAGGGGTGACTGGACGGAATATAGACAGAACACACAGAACCCGGAACCACGGAGAGAGGAAAGGAGAGAAATGATAGCACAGAGTAGAGGCTCAGATGAAGACAGGAGGGAAGACGGAGAGTAGAAGGAATCTAGAGCCAAGTGCAGAGGAAAGGAGACAAGTGATAGTTTATGGAGAAGGTTCAGATGAAGAATAGGGGTGCCCAGGGGCTGCACTAGATCTCAAGAAGCCCATTAGAATAACCCTCACAGAGCCCCAGGTAACACTCACTATGGGGGATCGTCTGATTGATTTATTGGTGGACACTGGAGTGACATTCTCAGTTCTGAATTCTAAGTTGACTAAAGAGAGCAAAGAGACCGCAGCAGTCACTGGGATCACAGGAAGGCCACAACAGAAAGCCTTCCTACAACCTCTGAAGTGCCGGCTGGGCACCACACAGCTCCAGCACAGCGTCCTGTACATGGAAGAGTGTCCAGTCCCTCTGCTTGGTCATGACCTTTTAAGTAAGCTTAACCCATGAATTATGTTCTCACCCAAAAATCTGAGGCTTCACCTACAGGTACTTCCAGAGCATGCACTGCAG